AACCCCCATTTCTTGTAATCGATCTCCTCCGAAATGGCCCCGAAAGCGTTCCCAAGGCTCCCATGAGCGCCTCAAGATGGCCCCTGGATCGCCCAGGGGGCCCCGAACGGCACCCACAAGGCCTCCAAGAGGCTCCCAAGAGACCCCCAAAGGCCCCAAGAGGCCCCCCGAGGCACCCAAGACGCTCCAAGAGGAGGACCGCCAAGAGGCCCCCAAGACGCTCCAAGAGGCTTCCAACAAGCTTCCAAGAGAAATCCGAGGAAACTCTGAGAGGCAACTCGCCTGGGCATCGTTTGTGTACGGGTTGCTGGGGATATGTTGTTGGTTCCCGGGCACGCGAAACGAGTCGAACGCCGACCGTGCTAAGGCGGGCCGCGCTGGTAGCGAAGTGAAAAGCAGTGCAAGTGGCGGCGCGCGGGGAGCCGCGCTACAGACAAGGCGGTCAGCAGCAGAAGAGCGTGCTGCTGGCGAAGACCACGTGAGCGAACCTGGCGAACAGGAAGCACATGGGGCGCCCCAGGGGCACGAGGAGGACGCCGAAGAAGACGGAAGCGAAGGAAGTGGACTGTCGCACCGAACGAAACACCGCAGTGCCAACGTGGAAGACGCAACCAACGGCAACGTCAAAGGTCGGCTCGGGCTACGACAGGATCTAATTGACTTGACGCGCGCACAGGCAACTCAGGGCTACCGCCGAGGGCTGAGGCTGCAAGGCTGGTGGGGATATTTTTTTGGTCGCGGCTGCGAGACAGGGGTCAGGCGGCGAAAGCAAAGTCCGGGGCGCGAGCGAGGCGAATTAGCTACAACAGGCGCGCAGACCGGCCGGCCCACTCACACGGCAGCCGCGAAGCTGAAGGGGAGCTGACGGCGGGGGGGCATCCTGAGAGCTCGGGCACGTGCACAGGACAAAATGTATTGGAATTCGGTGCCTGCCATGGCACGACCTACGCAGCACGAGGCGAGAACCAAGATAACCAAATTCGTCGATCTGAATGGGGGCAAGCATGGAGTGAGTCGCCAGGGGGCGCTAGGCTCCAAACGCCGTGACGACGTGAGCTAGCCAGGGGGGATGAGCTGTCGCGAGCCGTGATGCAACGCAACTGGGGAAATCTGACGGTGCTGCGGAAGGCTGGACCACTCCGTGGCGATGCCAACACCCGTCAGGCCATCCCACAGTGCAAGGGGGAACCAAGCGACTGTGTGCCACGCAGTGCGCGCCGGCACGGCGTCAGGCCTCTGAGTGAGGGGAGGAAGACCAGCTGGCGTGGTGAGCATCGCCAGCGGGGAAGTGTAAGGGGGGCTGCACTGGTGGTAGTGCAACTGGGAAAAGCGCTGGTGGGGATACTTTTTTGATTAGCGGCCCGCAAGGAAAAGTCCCGAGGGCGTGAGTACCGAGGCTGGGGCACAGCGCAAGATAATTAGCGCGAGGACGCGCGGAGTGCACATGCAAAGACCAATTCAGGCCACGGCAAGCGTAAGCCAATGAGGAATCGCCCTGACGGCGCCAACTCGCGAAGAAACGGACACTAGCAGCCAGCCGCGAGGCACGCACAGCCGGCACCTGTGCTGGTGGGGATACGCGAAGCGTCAAGAATTCCGAACAAAAGAGGCTGTCTGGTTCTATACGAATATCTACATGCATACATACATACATGCATGCATACATACATACAGACATGCATGCATGCATACATACATGCATTACAAACGTACATACATACATACATTACGAACATACAAACATACATACATACATACATCCATCCATCCATTCATCCATCCATCCATCCATACATACATGCATACATACATACATGACATACATACAAACATACGCACATGCATGCATACATACATACATACATATATACATACATGCATGCATGCATACATACACATACATACCTACATACAGGACGACATACATACATATACATATACATATATGTTTATATATACATGTACATACATACATACATATGTTAGAACCACGCGCGCGCTTCGCGCGCGGGTGAGTTCTAGCGCAGTCCAAGCAAACCTCACAGGACCGGATGAGGATTGACATCACCCCGCAATAATCACCATGAGGGAGCGTACTTCCTGCTGGGCGCTTCAGGAATCGCTGAATAAGGCCCAAAGAAAGCGCGCAAGGCAACCACGAGGGTAGCTTACTGAAGAGATGCGCGAGAGCCCCCAGGAAGCTGGCTAAACCATGCTGGGAGTCTCTTTAGATGCCTGTTGGGGGCGTTCGTGGACGGCTCTTCAGGGTTTCTGGGGGATGGGGCCTCTCTGGTTTTGATGGGGGCCTCCTGATGACCTCTTCGGACTTGTTGGGGGCGCCTCGGGGGCCTCCCCGAAACACTGAACGTCTGAGCTCGAAAAGTCGGTTTCCGTCTTGAGGGCCTCTTGGGCCGTCTTGGCGGCCTCTTGGGCCATCTTGGCGCTCTCTTGGGTCGTATTCGGGACGTCGCGTGGAACTCTTGGGCTGTCTTGGTGCTGTCTAGGGGACCTCTTGTGCCATCTTGGAGCCCTGGAATGGATGGGGAAAACAGAAACGCACTCGGGGGCAATTCAAAAGCATGGGAAAAGAGGTAACGGAGGAGGGGGGTTGACCTTGAAAACATGGGCTTGAGGGAGTTTCCTCTGTTTTCAAGCTGGGCTTCCCACTACTTAGTGGGGCAAGGTGCTGGATGAGGGCGGCGGAGGGAAGAAGGATTCAAGGAGGGATGCGGATGAGGTAAGGGGGGACGGAAACGTATGAGTGATGCCGAGAAAATACGGCGTCAAGGAGAGCCGAGAGGGGAGGAGGTGGGAGGAGAAAACACGACGCAACTGGGAGAAACAAGGAAGAACCGAAGGAGAATTATGTGGACCGGGAAACGGAAGAGAACCACATGCAGGAGAGAGACTAACGAGAACTGACAACGAGAGATGGGGAAAACGGAAACGCACTCTGGGGCAGGAGGGAACGGAGAGGGGGATCGAACTTGAAAAACCAGATTGTGAGGGGATTGCCTTTTTAAAAATTCTGTCTGGATGCCCCAAATGGCACCCAATATTCCCCCAAGATGCCTCCAAGAGTCCCCCCAAAGAGCTCTGGGGAAGCCCTCGACAGGCCAAAACAATGGAATACCAGGCGTGGAGGAGAAACGAGGAGGAAGTGACAGGGAGAACACGCAGCGGGGAGGAGGAACGGGGAGAGGAAGGAAACGGACGTGGAACGGTCGGGAGACGCAGGATAACCAATCGCAAAGGCGAGATCAAGGCGCGAACGAACAGCGAAAGGTGAGGGAGACAAACACGCACGAGGGAGGCGGATAGAGGAAGGCGTGAAGGAGAGAAAAGGAAGAGTAGGGAGGGATAGTAATGCAGCGAGGAGGAAGCAGGAGAAGGATGTGGAACGTGAGACGGATGAAAACCAAGAACAAGGAAGAAAGATCGAAAAGAACGGACAGCGAGGGATGGGGAGCCTCGGCGACACCGTATATAAGGGTCTCATGTGATGACTTGTGATGTCCTCTTGGGGGCCTCTGGGGGGCTCGTGGGGCCTCTTTGGGGCGATGCCTCTGGGGCGCTCAGGGGGGATCTTAATTGGGTCCGTCCCGTGTTAATTTGCTTCTGGAGGGTCTCTTGGGAACCTCAGAGGGGCTCTCTTCGGGCGTTTTTGGGACCTGTTGGGCCATGATGGGGGCACCTTGAGCGCGAAGACGGCCCAATATCGCGTCAGGACTGCCGTTCATCGCCTCCCCTCTCTGGACGCTTCGGGATCGACTAGAGTGCCTCAGGGCGTCTGGGGAGGGGGCTCTTGAGGGCCTCTTGGGAACCTTTGAAGCTTCCTGAGGGCCTATTCGGGGCCTCTTGGGGCCACTTAGGAGCTTTTGGCGGGCTTCCTGGGGCCTCCTGGTGGCGTCTTGGGGCGGAAGGCTTGAAATATCCGTTCGGGTAAACCCCCTTGTGGGACCCCTCTTGGCTGTCCTGGGGGCCTCTTGGGCATTATTGGGGCTCTCTTGGGCTCTTGGAGCACTATAGGGAGCCTCTTGGGCCGGCTTGGGGCGATCTCGGAGGCCTCGCAGAGGCCGTCTTGAATGCCCCGACAGCTCCAGAGCCGAATCTTCTGAAACAAATCTACGCCTTCCGAAGGGAGTGCTGTCTCTTGAGGCTCTCTTGGGTAGGGGGCCACATGCGAACCCTACCCCTACCCCCCACGATTTCTGAGGGGGAGGGTGGGGTTCACCTCGCTCGGGAGCTCCCGAGCGAAATGAACCCCGCCCTCCCTCCCAGAGATCGTGGGGGGTAGGGGTAGGGTTCGCAAGTGGCCCGCTATTGGGGGTCCTCTTGGGGGTCTCTTGGGGCGTCGCTTGGGTGCCCCCTGGGCCGTCTTGAGGCCATCTCCTCCTCCTCCTCCTCCTCCTCCTCCTCCTCCTCCTCCTCCTCCTCCTCCTGGGCGCCTCGGAACGACACTTCGGCGGCCTCGGGAAGCCCGGGAGCGGCGCGAGAAAGCCTGCCGCACGTCAGCCCGGGAGGGCCTTCAGAGCCGCCCAGGAAGGGGCTGGAGGCCGGGTGCTCAAATCAGGGCTCCCCCGGGCCCCTGGGCCCCCCTCTCCATTCATGTGTACAATACATCTATATATATATATATATACATACATACATACATATATACATATATATGTATATACACATATACATATATATGTATATACACACATATATGTATATATATATATAGAATACACATGCCAATGTGCGTATATAGAACCATCGAGCGCGCTTCGCGCGCGCTCGGGTTCTAAAAGGGGCCGGAGGGCGGGTGCTCAAATCAGGGCCCCCCGGGCCCCCCTCCCCACCTTCAGTCGTTCGTGCATATACGCATCCCCATCGCAGCAGGTATGTATGTAACATGGGCCACCGAACGGCACAGCCTTCCGCCGCCGGAGCAAATTGACCTCCCATTCCTGCCCCTGCGGGCGCGGGGGGCCACGGGGGGCGGCGCGGACATCCTTATCCAGCGTGAAGCCGATGACCCCGTTCCCGAAGGTGACGACGAACTCCGTGGAGGCCGAGTAGAACACGTACCCTGACCGGCAGGGAAGACGAACCAACGCCCGAACCCAGATGATTGGCGGCGCACAGGGGGGGGGGGGTAGAGGAAGGGGGCAGGCTTCCTAGAAGGAGGCTGCTACTTAGAAGGCGCATATATATATGTATATAAAAATACATACATACATACATACATACATACATACATACATACATACATACATACATACATACATACATATATGTAGTTACAAGACTGCAGTGGCGCTTCGCGCCATGCACCTTGGTCCTTGAAGTTTGGCATGCAGGCGGAATGGCAGGAAGGTCGAGCTGACAATTTAGCGATAACTCATTGTTGCCTTTTCCAGCATCGCTGCTAAAATGATGTCATTCCTTATCCTTCCTCGTTGCTTATTTTTCCTCGTTCTCGCCATACCCTGCGCATTTTCCCAATCCTCCTCAGCTCTTTTTGCGGAGGCTCCTCCTTGGAGAGCCTCTGGGGGCCTCACAAAAGTTTGAGGCTTTCTTAAGGCCTTCTGGAGGCCTCCTGGGCGTGTTCTGGAGATTCTGGGGGCTTCCTCGGGCCACCCTGCCTCCAACCGTGGTCTCCCTGAACGACCAGGTCACGATTTGGAATGCTTCGAAGGGTGTCTTGGGGCCATCTTGGGCCGCCATGGGGCTCTTTTAGAGCCATGTGTGGCCCCTGTTGTGCCGTTTCGGGGCTCTCTTGAACTGCATGGAAGCCCTTTCGGATGGTTGTGGTGCGATTTCGGAGCCTCCCAGGCGGCGTCGGGCGCCAAAAAGACCGCCGTATTCGAGCGTCGGGAAGCCAGAAAGAGGAGAACCCCCAAATCTGAGCGAGGAGGGTATCGGAAACCTATGCTATTTACATGGTTTCGGGCCCCTCCCACCCCTCCCGGTTTCGTAGCCCTCCCCCCTTCCAGCGGGGCCGCGCCAGAGTGAGGAGGGTATCAAGAAACTGTACTATTTACAAGGCTTCGTTTCCTGAGCACCTGTCCTCCCTCCTCCTTTCTTTCGTCTGCCCTTTCGTACGTACCTACTCGTTCGATGAACTTCTCCTTCGTGTTGATGTTGTCGTACCCCACGGGTCCCACGAAACCGTTAATACCTTTATGTGGGGAACTCCGTTAGCATAATGTTGGGGGGTCCCCCCGCCCGGGCTTATACAAATATAGGAAGAGGAATGTGTATATATATATATATATATGTACACGCACACATGTGTATATACATATATACATACACAGAGAAAGCCCGCACCATCTGAGCAGCAGGGGAGCTTCTAACAAGCGTCCCCCCTCCCCCTACCCCTTTTGGCGCGTGGCCGAATGTTGGCTGGTCTTCCACAGTGCGCCTCGTTTTCCTCGCGTACGCAAGAAGGGACGGAATGCCACAGCCCAGTGCCGCAGCCAAACCCACGGCCCCCAAGCAAAGGGGGGGGGGGCCAGGATGTGGTCCGATCGCTGTGAGCCGTGCAGTCGCTGGCCATGCAGAACTTTTGTACGAGCCGAGCGCAATGAAGAAATCCGCAGCCCACTCCTCATGGATGCCCCATTCACGCACGGTGCCGTGAGGACCGATGGATGCCACAGATGAACGCAGGCGCATGTCGGCTCCTCCTCCTCCTCCTCCTCCTCCTCCTCCTCCTCTTCCTCCTGTTCGTCTTCCTCCTATCCCTCTCCTCCTCAGACGTCGTTGTCAATTCGCAACGTCGACCACCAGAGGTCTCGACCCCCCCCGAGGCCAAATGTTCGTCCGGATCCGTTTTTTTGACACGGCCCTGGGGCCCAGCGAGGGCCCCCAACACGCAGAAAATGGTGGGGGGGTCCTCTTCATGCTGCTCCTCCACCTGCACCTCCTCCAATTCTGCCTCTTCCTCAACTGAAAGCCCACTGCCCTGGCATTGGTGTCGCCTGCCACCCACACGAAATTCCGAGCGCGCCAATGGCCGCGTGGGGCTATCCGTGGGGCCGCCCACCCTGCTATGCCGAACACTTCTGGGGGTAGCGGCGCGTTGGGGCAGGACGCACCCAGCCAAAAGGGCAACTCGACCTCGCGAGCTGGCACCGCGGAAGGAGAATGTCAAGCGAGAAGGAGGAGGAGGAGGAGGAAGAGGAGGAGGAGGAGGAGGAGGAGGAGGAGGATGTGGGAGGTAGGAGGAGGATGATTAGGAGGAGGAGGAGGAGGAGGAGGAGGTGGTGGGAGGTAGGAGGGGGGTGATTAGGAGGAGTAGGCAGGAGGAGGACAAGGAGAAGAGAAAAAGGACGCTGACTAGGAGGAGAAGGAAGAGGACGTGGGAGGAGGAGGGGGAGGAGGAGGAGGAGGAGGAGGAGGAGGAGAAGAGAGAGAGAGAGAGAGGAGGAGGAGGAGGAGGAGGAGGAGGAGGAAGAAGGAGGAGGAGGAGGAGGAGGAGGAGGAATAGGAGGACGAAGAAGAGGGTAGGGACAATGAGGAGGTGGAGGAGGAGGAGCAGGAAAAGGAGGGGGACTGTTGGGAAAACCGACGAAGATGGAGTTGGACACGGAGGGGGTCGACGGCGGCGACGGCGGGACGACCCCCGCCCCCCGAGAGGGCGGGCGGCGGCCAGCTGCCACGAGGTTTTTGCCCGGCTGCAGCGTCGCCGCCAGGCACGCCTGCGCGGCCGTGGGGCTGCGGAGGGGTCCGCCGCGGGCGCGCGACGGCGACGTCGACGACGCGCCCCCCGAAGAAGCGACGGCGACGTCGACGACGAGCGTGGACGACGACGACGGGCGAGCGACGTCGACCACATTGCCCAGAAGGCGCGCTGGAGACGCCACTGGAAACGTGAAGCCGACTGCGCACTGACAGCCGAATCTGGTAGCATGTTGTCCAGGCGCGCCGCCCCGATAGCAACGAGCAACATAAAAAATCTGGCGAGCCGAACGAGGGTGTTTCCAAATGCCGCTGGTGTCGTCTGGGGGTCGCGCCGTGGGGGGCTTGGGGGCTGGGGAGCGAACGGCACTTGGCATGCCCGGGGAATGGAATGGAATGGAATGGAAGGCCTGCGCTAAGGCGACATGGATAATTGCACGGAAGGGACAGGATGGGAACTTCCACGATCAGGGTCGACGACAAAGGATCACTTAAAACTAACTGAGAAAATTATCATGAGGGGTCCGACCGCCGGCGTAACTGGTAGGGATACTCGGTTGCTGCGTATATGCTGGGAGGGCGGGTGGGAGCGAGCGAGACGGCTTGTGCGTTGTGGGCAGGAGGTGCGTCTTGCTCCACTTGAAACCCCCTCCGCTGGACCTGGACGGGGCGCCCCGCGTACCAAAAGAGTAAGGCCCCAACCCTCAGAATCCCCGACGGATCCCGCCGAAAGGCCCGACTGAGGCCTCGATGGCCCACGGCAGCTGCTCGTAGCCGCCGACCCCGTGCACCCAGTCAAGCGACACGTTGGTCCCGAACTGGCCGTCGATCTGCAGCGAGGCGCCAAATCCGATGTCCTGCGCCCCGACGCCGCAGACGAAATCAGCCACGCTGAGCAGGCAGGACCAGATCCCGGGGCACCGGCTTGCCCCGTTCTAGAAGCCCAGGGCAGGCTGCCCCAAGCCCGGCTTCTCGGGTCGCCGAATGAGCCCCGCACACCACGCACAACACGTACGGCCAATGCACCTCCACTCGACGTTCACGCTGCTGTCGGTCGTCACGTTCCTCGTCTCGCCGTGTTCCTGCTAATGTCGCTGCCGCCCTTGCAAGTGCCGCTCACGTCCCCGACGACCCTGAGGCTCCCGTGCGCCTGGCTCTCGTCGACCTCGACAGCGGCGGCTTGCAGCCAGCCTCCCACAACCTCTTGCGCATACGCTTTGAAGCCGCCCGCGTCCCACAACGCACACACCATCACATTGCCCTTGTACTCCACCTCGTGCTTGGTTAGCGCCACGGTCTGCTTCACCAGTTACTTCCTCGGCACTCCTGGCACTCGATTGGGTACGTCGGGCCACTCTCCTGCCATTTTGTTGTACCACCACCCGATGTTCATCACCGCCCAGCGCACCTTCGACGCCAAGTGGTCCAGGGCCTGATGGTTGCCGAAGTTGGTGCCCATTGCCGTTGCTGCCTTGGTCAGCCGACGGCCTCGCTGCCCTTCGCGATCTTGAACTCCTGCCCCGCGCTTAGTCGGAATTGAAAGATTGAGCCCGCGGCCACCCCGCACTCAGGGTTACTACTACTACTACTACTACTACTACTACTACTGAGAAAGAATAAGCAACATCATAATAATAACAACCCTACTCGCCAACATCATCATCATACTTATCATCATCAGCATCATCATCATCATCATCATCATCCGTAGCCGTTTTGGCTCAAGGACTCAAGCGACTCAAGCTCAAACGACTCAAGCGACCGCGACTCAAGCGGCGTGGCAGCGGTGCCCCGGTCTCAAGCGACCGCATTTTACGAACACGGCCCGCTTTACGTTATTATCCCTTATCCCTTCGAATCCCCTGGTCAGAACGCGCCCCGCAGACCTCCTGGGCCTCTTCTTCTCGCGGCTACATCTACGGCTACATGCCCCGGTCGCCAGCCCCCTCCTCCTCCTGCCCCGTGGGGGGAGGAGGCGACGACGATGACGACGACGACGACGACGACGTCGTCGTGGGGGGCAGGGCAGAGGAGGGAGGAGGGGGGGGACGCTGGCCCTACCCATAGGCGTCGGGAGGCTCATGATTTCATCATGGCTGGCGATGGCCCGTCGCCTTCCCCCCCCCTGCTTGTTGCTGTCTTCTATGACGGGGCGCTGATTATCATTAAACCCTATCGATTAGCTACTTCTTCTTGGGTTTCGGGGGAAATTCGAAGGTTACCTTCGAATTTCCAAAGAATCTCAATACGTTCTGAAACAAAATTTAATTCAATATTATTCTTCTGGGGCTGGCCTGGGGCTTGAAATTACAAGGTAACCCTGAAATTTCCGAAGAAGAATAAAAACTTCAAATTATTATTCATGGCGTGCGCGGTCCTGCTGCTTTAGCATGGAGGGTGAATTTGAAGCGCGCAACGTAAATTATTCTTGGCTGGGCGGGTGGCAAGGAGGGTTTCCTTGAATTTGCCGGTGGGGGACAGCCTATCGGGGGAAGCTTATGGAAGCCTGTGAAGGGCGGCCTGCGAGGGGCAGACTCTGGGAATCCTTGAGGATCCCTTGGGAATCCCTAAGGAATTTCTAAGGAATCCTTACAAATCCCTCGGGCATCCGCAAGAATCCCAAGAGAATCCTAAGGCATCCCGAGGGCATCCCTAGGAATCCCTAGGGAATCCTTAGGAATCCTTAAGGGCTCCTCAAGAATCCTAAGGGAATCCTGAGGAGGGATCCCTTGGGATTCGTCAGGAATCCCTAAGGAATCTTTTGGAATCCCTAACGTGTCGTTAAGAATCCCCGCGGACTCCAGAAACCCTCGGGAATCCTTATGGCCCCCTCGGGAATCAAAGAGAATCCCTGCGGAATCCTTGGGATTCAAAGCGGAATCTGCAAGAGTCCCTCGGGAATCCTGAGGAATCTTTCGGCGCTCCCAAAGAATCCCTTCGGAAATCCTCAGGAATCCTTCGGGGGTCCTGCGGGGTCCTCAGGGAATCTTCTTTCAGATTCCCTCGGGGCTTCTTAAGAAGCCCTGGTGAATCCCCAAGAATCCCTAGGGCACCCTAAGGAACCCCAAGGGGAACCTCAGGAATCCCTAGGACATGGCCCGGCGTCTTCCGAGGAATCCAGATGACTGCCACCTTGGACGTTTTCCACGCCGCATGCACACCAGGTGACCCACGAAGGGGTGGGTCACCAGAACACTGGTTGAGAGAAACAAATTGCTTCACCTGCATCCTGGGCCTCGTCATGAGGCGACGCACTGCTACTCAATATGTTTGCCATGCGGCGCAAGCACACCAGGTGACCCACGAAAGGGGTGGGTCACCAGAGAACTGGTTGGGAAAAACCAATGGTCTCACTTGCATCCTGGGCCTCAACATGAGGCGAAACATTGCCACTCAATACATGTGCCGTACGGCGCAAGCACACCTGGTGACCCACGAAGGGGTGGGTCGCCAGAAAACTGGTTGAGAAAAACAAATGGTTTCACCTGCATTCTGGGCTTCGACATGAGGCGACGCACTGCCACTCAATGCGTTTTCGATACGGCGCAAGCACACCAGGTGACCCACGAAGGGGTGGGTCACCAGGAAACTGGTTGAGAAAAACAATTGATTCACTTGCATTCTGGGCCTCAACATGAGGCGACGCACTGCCACTCAATGCGTTTTCCATTCGGCGCAAGCACACCAGGTGACCCACGAAGGGGTGGGTCACCAGAAAACTGATTGAGAAAACCAACTGTTTCACTTGCATTCTGGGCCTCAACATGAGGCGATGCACTGCCACTCAATACGTTTCCCATGCGGCGCAAGCACACCAGGTGACCCACGAAAGGGGTGGGTCACCAGAAATCTTGTTGAGAAAAACCCATTTGCCACTGAATGCGTTTTCCATACGGCGCAAGCACACCAGATGACCCACGAAGAGGTGGGTCACCAGACAACTGGTTGAAAAAAACCAATTGTTTCACTTGCATTCCGGGCCTCAACATGATGAGGCGATGCACTGCCACTCAATACGTTTTCCATACGGCGCAAGCAAACCGGGTGACCCACCAAGGGGTGGGCCACCAGACAACTGGCTGAGAAAAACAATTAGTTGCACTTGCATTCTGGGCCTCAACATGAGGCGATGCATTGCCACTCAATACGTTTCCCATACGGCGCAAGCACACCAGGGGACCCACGAAGGGGTGGGTCACCAGAGAACTTGTTGGGACAAAAACAAGTTTGTTTCACCTGCATCCTGGGCCTCGTCATGAGGCGACGCACTGCCACTCTGCATGTTTGCCATACGGCGCAAGCACACCAGGTGACCCACGAAGGGGCGGGTCACAAGACAGCTGGTTGAGAACAACCAGCTGTTTCACTTGCATTCTGGGCCTCAACATGAGGCGAGGCATTGCCACTCAATACGTTTGCCATACGGCGCAAGCCCATTGGGTGACCCACGGAGGGGTGGGTCACTAGAAAATTGGTCGAGAAAAACCAATTGTTTCACTTGCGTTCTGGGCCTCAACATGAGGCGACGCACTGCCACTCAATGCGTTTTCGCTACGGCGCGAGCACACCATGTGACCCACGGAGGGGTGGGTCACCAGACAAGTGGTTGAGAAAAACAATTTGTTTCACTTGCATTCTGGGCCTCAACATGAGGCGAGGCATTACCACTCAATACGTTTCCAGGCGGCGCAAGCACACCAGGTGACCCACGAAGGGGTGGGTGACTAGAAAACTGGTTGAGAAAAACAAATGGTTTCACTTGCGTTCTGGGCCTCATCATGAGGCGATGCATTGCCACTCAATGCGTTTCCCATACGGCGCAAGCACACCGGGTGACCCACGAAGGGGTGGGTCACCAGAAAACTGGTTGAGAAAAAAACCCACTTGCATTCTGGGCCTCAACATGAGGCGACGCATTGCCACTCAATGCGTTTTCCATGCAGCGCAAACACACCAGGTGACCCACGAAGAGGTGGGTCACCAGAGAACTGGTTGAGAAAAACAAAATGTTCCAATTGCA